GCAGTATATAAAACTGCTTTTCTGATGTGAGGGGCACATTATACTTCCACGTGATTTCTGTGCGGTTGGTCTCTACGTGACATACTTAGTGGAAACCTCATAGAAAGCGGTGAGTTTGCAAAGCTGTGTTCAAAGTGATTGAAATCTTGGTTTAGAGTTTCTTTGTTTGGTTATGGAGGCGTCTGGCCGAGTGGATTGCTATCAACTTGACCTTTCCAGACACTGAGGAAGGCGAAATCCGCCGAGACGTCAGCTTAATCGTGAACAAAGAATAACAACACCTCGCGTTTGCTCAACAAAAGTACGAAGAAAAGGAATTGAGTTGCCACTCAAATCGAACGTTGCTTCATCATATAAAACTTCTCAATCACCAGTTTTATTTTCTCTTTCCACTAAGGAATAATCCGGAAACTCAGCTTACACGTTTTAAAAGCTTCATGAAAAGCTAGAAATTACACAGAACATATGTATATACGAAATGCTGGGATGCCGTCGCAGAACAACTTGCATACGTGTATGAACCGAGGATGGAAGAGTGGTGGCATTCGTGTACAAATTTAGAATTGGTGGCGTATAGCAGTTGAAGTCGCACTCATTCAGTGATGAACGCGCACACCTGATGGCGGTCTGCAATCAATGAAGAAGAATGAACAAATACATTTACCAACTTCGTGTAACATCATCAAGGAAAGAATACATATCGATTAGTCACAGCGACGGTAAAGGAAAGTCGGTTTCGAAACATTGCTGCACTTTGTTGGAGCTGATGCCGTCTTCTGCAGGATGAATTGTCCGGAAGAAATACAAGTTGTTATAACTCCTACGACCGACTTTCTATTAACCTCGGCATTGATCAAGTAATTCTTCGTATTTTTGTTGAGCAAACGCGAGGTGTTATTGTTCTTTATTCACGAATAAGCTGACGTTTCGGCAGATTTCGCCTTCCTCAGAGCCGCTTTCTATGAAGTTTCCACTAAGTATAAGTACTAAATAAGTATGTCCAGTATTTCCACTCCACTAAGTAAGTATGTCCATAGTGGAAATACTGGACATACTTACTTAGTGGAGTGGAAATACTGGACATACTTACTTAGTGGAGTGGAAATACTGGACATACTTACTTAGTGGACATACTTAGTGGAAACCTCATAGAAAGCGGCTCTGAGGAAGGCGAAATCTGCCGAAACGTCAGCTTGCTCGTGAATAAAGAACAATAACACCTCGCGTTTGCTCAACAAAAATACGAAGAATTACAAGTTGTTATCACCGGACACCCAGTATATCCAACATCAGTATCCTGCATAAAAGGGCAACACCGAGTGAGTGTGTCTCATTCAAGGAAATGGCCCGTTGAAGAAGACCAGACTCAACACGAAGGCGAAGTTGCCACTTGGAGACGAAGAACAAGCAAGGACCATCTACTCGGACCACCGGCTCTAATGAAGACGAAGAGGTCAAAACGTTAGCCGAAAATAAATATATTCATCAACTTCGTGTGAGCTCATCAAAGAAAGAATATGTATCGTTAAGAAAGTGTTCGTAACCTCATAGACAGCTCCCGCACCATTTTTAACTGTAGACAGAGGTGTACTGGCACTTGTGTGGAAAAACTTCGGAAGTATTGGCGCGTAACAACCGAGGTTGTTGGTGTCTCATAATGAACACGTGCATTTGTTGGTGTTCTTCGATCAATGGAGGAATAGATTAATCAAACCCTAATCAACAACGGTCAGCATATTGGCTTAAAGGTTGTTCGGAAAGATGAAAACCACTGACTTGGTATACCGTCAAGGAACGTCCTATGCTTCCATATATATCTACCTTCAACAGTGTCAGCAGCTCTCAGTAGCATCTAATTTTCACAATACTGAACGATCGCTCACTGTCAACCCTTCACTCTCACTATTCTCACTGTTATTTAGTCGTTTCCTCTTACCTCATTTGCTGTCGGCAGAAAAACGAAAAAGAAAATCTGGCATTGTAGATCGGTAGAAGACGCCATCTATTTCTCAACGAACATTTTTCCCTTAAGACAGAACTTCCCAAAGTAGATCTTAGCAACTCACTCATGATCTCGCTTTTAAAGATCCGCTCAATATTCTTAATGGAAATGCAAAGGAGTGTCTGATATTTCCTTTGTATAAAGACTTCTATTCCTACTTTACCGCGACTGACGTCAAACCTTAGCTCTAGGTTGATCCGAAGTGAGTCATAAGCACTTTCTTTCATAAGAATCAGAAATTCCACATCGACGAAGAAGATATCGCAAAACGGTTGCCACGATCTCTCAATAGATGGAGGACTAAAGGGTGTTATCGTCCTTTTTTCAAAAATTCACGGTATCAGTTGCCAACAATATAAAAGATTTCCACTGCTGAGGTGCAATTTAGTAGAAAAAAAGAGAGAGAATCCGGTGTTAGTTAATTCAAATTGGATTCGGCATTCGTTCGACATCAAGAATTGCAAGCGGTGACTTCTTGCGCATTGGAAGTGCTATGCGAAAAGGATAAAGCACAAAGCTCTCGGCGTTGATCACTCCCTAAGGGATGCGCCATGCATTGGACTTCACTAAGCATCTTTTGGAGGTTATTGAGTGTAAATCTGGCCTTTGCAATGACATGCAGTGGCCTACCGATGTGTTCCTCACTCCTCCATAGGTATGGTACCAATCTGCCGACACCGGAAGGATGGAAGGTTTGGTGCGTCAGAGGGGCGGGAATCGACCCCATGTGTATTACAGTGTTCCTCCGATCACTGCGCCACACGTGCTCTGTGTTATGTTAGTGCTGCTATATCTAGGGCAAATCTGATGGCACTTGCCCGCCGTAGAAGAAATGAAAGCTTCCAGAGCCCAAGAGATTTAACCGGAACCGGTGTTTATGCGTGTATTACAGTCAACCGCTTCCCACTGCGTTGCACGTGGAAATTTTTTATGATGGAATTTTTTCACGAACGCAGGCTTTCTGACTACGGTGACGCATCAATAGTGCAAAGAATACTTTGTGCCGATACTGATCATAGCTCCGAAATTCATTGAAACAATACGAAGGTGCTTATTCAGCTCCTTTCATCTTTCATGAAGACATCATAAAACGGCCGATGAATCCGTGGCGCTACGCTTTCGATTTTATGTGCGAAGACGAGAAACTGTGTCACAAGCATACGTGATAAATAGTTCTGACTGCATATTGGAATTGAGTGGGAGCTTCACATTTGTATTCGTCAACGCTGCATGCTTGATGGCGCAAGCTTCTTACGGAGAATTTCTAAATTTTTTCTTTACGTGGTCGATAGAAGTCCTTTATAAGCTTCACAGTAAAGTACTCGTCAGGTAGACAAGTTTTAAAGGAGTTGGTTGCCAATCACCGAAGGGGAGATGAACATCTATTGATGTAGACTAACTAACAGTGTGGACTAACTAACAGACTAGACTACTTCTGTTGCAGCAAAACTTATTTTGAATAGGTGTTAATCTTTATCTCCAGCATGAGTTCTGTACATAACCACTAAATTAACAGAGACTCAGATAATAAGTGATCGTTTCTTAAACTCTCCTGCTCAAATTTTCCCCGCCCAAGAGCGAAAAATGAACTCAAACGGAACTCAAACGACACTAAATAAACAATTGCCTTTTTTATTGGAAACTTGGAACGTTTAAAAAAGTGCTAAACGAAGCGCTATCTCTGTGTTGCTTCAACAGTTTCATTTTTCATATCAGTTGACGGTCTGTTTCATCAAAGTGCCGGATATTGGAACACTTCTCTGACAACACTTCATGCTCTGATGCAGTTCTTTTCTCATGACACAGCTCTTTAATCATTCAGTGAGACTATGCAGACGAGCTTTTTAGGGATACCAATCCTGCTTGTCACAATGACATTTCCACAGGGAATTTATGATAAAACGATAGTAGCTAGGTTGATGCGATTTTAGTGTTCTTGGTAGTTGCGGTAGGAATGCTGCTTGCGGAAAGCTGTGTTTCTTTTTGTCATTCGATAAATCTGCTGATAGAGCGTGGTGCATTTTTAACGATGGTGTTCTGTCGATTCTACATTTTTTCGTTTGTGGGAAAGTTAAGCTTTAATGTCACGGCAATAAAAATCTCATTGCTGAGAACCATTTTAAACTGTAGCAGGTGAGAAATCAGCGCATTCGATGAATTAAGCAATGGCCCTCACACGTCGTTCTAGCTCAACACCTGGCATGTGTGTACCTCATCTGCCGATTTCTATGTGCTTTGGAATAGCAGAGTCCCCAACACCAATGCCCACCGTAATGAATATGACGCATATGGAGAAATTTCTTTTTGTCTTAAAAATGTCGAGTAGAGTCCTAATACCTGCCTTGTGGTCACTCAGTACAAATTCGAAGTAGAAATCCATCTCCGATTTCTCAACAACCCTGCTGAAAGAAGGAAATCCTCTACTAATTTGAGCATGCAAATAGATGCTACCCTCCAAATATCTTCAGGTGTGATCCTCACAACAATGAATATTGTCATAAACATGGCGAATGTTCTGGTACGTCCGTTGCTGCTTCCTCTCCTCACCATCACAACAGTGCTCGGATGTGCAGCAGGACCAGGCATTTAAACACAATATTGTTCTTGTATTAGAAACATTTGCAACTTGAATAATAAATTTATAAATTTTAACCGTTTTAGTATCTCTAGCACTTTTTGCCTTAAAGAAAAGTCGTATCACAAGGAACAATATTTTAAAAGAAATAGTTTCGTTCCCAGCTCGGCAATGGTCGAGCCAAACTTTCCAGTCATATGACACCAATAACGGCAAGATTGAGCAGCCACCATTTATTTAATTGCTTGGCAGTTTTTTCCAGTCACTTGATTGAAGAGGTTAATTAATCATCACTTTCACCTATCTATTGGCAAAGTTGTGAAATTTTCATGTATTCATACTTCTTCAATAAAAAGTTTGTTGAATTTAGGCGCAATGTGCACAAGAACCTTCAGCATTACTGGCATCGGCTTGCCGGTGCAGATGGTTTTCTCAACGGGAGCTGGTGTAGCTGCTCAGGTCCCCAGTATTGCGCCGAGTGCAGATGCAGCCAGAGGATTTGTGAAGCGTATTGTAATGGAAGCAGTGAGTTCTCGTTCCTTGGACAAGTTCAATGAAAGCTTCCAGTTCTAAAGGATTCGTTGGAACCAAAATTGTAAATATAGGTGTAAAATAAATATCCAATTAATCAATTAATAATTAAACAAGGTGTATGGGATTTACACAATTTAATTGAAAACTTCATTTAAATTCGTCCAGTTAACGCAGCTTTCCTCTTTAGGTGTTTGATGTTCTCGAACAACAGGGTCGTGCAGCCGGGTTATCCGATCCTATAATCCAAATCATTTTGGACCAACTTACTGTCAACATCATGTACCAACCACTGGAATGCAACACTGTAGGTGTGAACCCAAGGCCAAATGTGAATAGTAAGTTTCCAACTGCTAAAACCATTCGAAAAAGTGCATATAATTACAGCGAAAAGAAGCCTTCTGCTTTGAATGCTGTCATGAATCGCACCATTTTAAAAGTAGATATGAGAGTAGCACATAGGCGATCAAAGGTGACAAGGAGGTTTTCATGTTATTGACTATCGCAGCTACCCCAAGCTTCTTTAGGCTAAATCATGCCCTCGGTTTTCGAATTATCATTCCGTTCCTATTGTGAATTATCCTTATTCACCACTATTATAACTATTATGACTATTATTGCTGTTATCACCACCGACTTTTCTCTCTGTGGACGCGCAATATCTCCTCTAAAAGAAGGGCATAAGGGCAACTGAGAAGAGAACCAACTTAAGCAACCTAAGCAAGAGATTGCTGAAAACACTCAAAACTGTAAATTCTAGTAATTGACAGCAATAATAATAGCAAACTTTCTTCGCAAAAATGCCACTTTTTGAGATTAGAAATTACTTGTCTACAGAGAGATAACTGAATAAATTTAGCGCTTCGCTTTTTCTAGAAGGAATTATGGGAAGATAAAATCTTACATGAAAGTAATAAGGTAGGAACTGTAGATGAGAGAGACAAAACCTTCCTGAAGAAGTCGATGAGCTTGAAATTGATACCCGCGCGCACGGCCCACCAAGCCTTCTAATCCTCCGAACTCGGCAAATCGGTACCAGACTTGTCTGAGAGGGTAGCGACACTGGCTGGATATATCGGTAGGTCACTGCGAGTCACTGTAAAGGCGAGATATGCGCTCAATCACCTCCAAACGATGCTTAGTGGAGACGAATGCATGGTGCATCCCACGGGGATTGATCAACGCCGAGAACTTCATCTTTTTTCTTGTTTCTATTCTAATGAAGGTGCAATACACATGGGATAGATCTCGCGCGGTGGCTCACCAAGCCTTCTGTCGATCCAAGGTCAGCAAATTAGAATCCGGTGAGCCACCGCGATTCATTGTGAAGGCCAGTTACGCGTTCAATCGCCTCAAACGATGCTCAGTGAAGTCCAATGCTCTGAACAACCCGCAGGGACTAATAAACGCCGGAGGGCTTTTTCCTTTTCACCTTTATCCTGCTGAAAACACTGATTTCATCCTCACCACTGGCTTTATTATTTCGAAGCTACGTTAAGTCACAGCAGCCGATCAGGTTTTAAATACTCCAAAAACGGTTATCCTTGAAATGATTAGACTGTTTAGCGTAGTGTTTCTGCCCCACTCAGTTTGTATTGAATTGAAGCAGTTGAAGAGTGCAGAAGAGTATTAAAAAAATTCGAGTGTACTTTGAGTCAAAACAAGCGTTTGAAAAAAGCAGTTTGTTCCAGTCATGCCCATGAATATGAAGCCGGCCTGCGTCATCATCGGCAATACCGTAACAGCAGTATGCAACATGGCGTGTATGATAAACGTGCCCGCTAATCTATTGGGTATTCCCGCCACGGCTACGACAATTTCAGGAACTCTCACGGTTTGAATTGCATTTTTCATTTTACTAAGGTTTTTAAGAAGAAAAAGATCTGCAGACCACAAACATCATCATGGCGAACTGGTCGAGAGAGATGTGGCAAGGAGTGGTTAACAGAGTGATTCGAGCCTTGCAATCGGGTCCATTTGGAAGGAACTTCCTCTCAGCAGTTGCCACCGTTCAATGAAGCGAGAAACCATCTACACACTGTTTATGACGGGCAACCCATTTTTTGGTATTTTATACAGTTGCCTTACGAGACGAATAAACTTGTTAACCACAAAATTGCTCAACAATTAAGGAAACGTAAAAAATTGTAATGAGCTGTACCAGATTAGGAATAATTTAGTGTACTTCTAATTAGCCGGTTGAGAATTCCCCAGGCACAAAATGAGCGGCAAGGGATCCATGTCTTTATATGTGAAGAAAACGTCTCCTACCAATGTTTGAAAAAAGTTAAAACAGGTGAGCAAAGATTGAAAGAATAAATGATCTATAATAGAAAATATGAAGAAGTTTGCAGCCTGAGGAAAACTTATTCTATACAAATACGCTTAGAGGAACGAAAAAAATCACGAAACGCTAGGAGTGACAAAAATAACGCCTCGTTTAACTTGTGCATCATGTCCTAGAAGGCAAGTACAGCTGTAGACCAGCTCTTATAGACTTCTGGTCAAGAAATATTGGCTTGGGCTGTTAAACAACTATCCAGCATGTGTTAATAACTCAAAAGAACGACTCTATAACGCTTATGATAAATAATGGAGATATTCATCAATATGCTCTTATGAATTGATCCCACGGGTCTCACTCATATGGAAGGCCTCTACCAGCTCGGTAGAGAGGCAACGTGGCCCGTCACTAGATTGCGGCTAGCGGATTAATCGCGGACCAAAAGCAACGCTTGCTTCCCTGAAACGCAGGCTGATCGAGGGATGGACTCCCTGTTTCTACTGCCCCAATTTGGCAAATTCTTTCTGTGTTTACGAGGCGCATTCATTCATGAATACGCCAAGCTCATTCAACATCCTCACGTTAGAGCTATTAAAGCTGGTTGGAGAGACGTCCTTTTCCAGAAATACTCGAGCTGATACGCCAGCGTGGAATTGCATGAGCTGCAATCAACCTCTAACTGACATCCGAATTTTGCAAAACAATAGAGACAAGCGATAAAAGAAGAACTTAAAGAGAGAACAGCAGCAGTTACGGCCGAAGCTGCAGAGGCTGGGAAAAGAGTCCATAAGCCCCGAGAAACTTCGCTAATTACAAAACCAAGGTGATTGCACTCCGACACTAAGACGGAACAGTTACAGCGTCCAGAAAGGCAATGGAGAATATCATTCACGAATACTACTCAGATCTTTTCGATAGCTACCTCCAGCTCCAGTCATATGAAATAAAGGAGGATGGATATGTCGTACCATCGGCTCCTGCTTTCGAAATCCGATATACTGTTTCATTTGTGAAGAATCGAACAACATCCGCCAGATCTCACAGACGTACTGGCTCGGCTGTTCACATGTTCGCTGTCTGAGTGCGAGTTTCATTTTCTCTTCCTGCTCAATGGAAAACCAACCAGACCGTGCTATGGTTCAAAAAGGTGACCTCCGCGTTATCGACAACTGTCGAACAATATGCTTGTTGTCTGTCGTTTACAACCTTTTTGTCATCCTAAAACCATTGACGCTTCACTCGAAGGACAGCCATGAGTGCAATAGTGTTCCAAAAAATTTCGCACTATGGACCATATCCACACAATATCAAGACTCAATGAAGTATCGCGAGAATAGAAAACACCGCTCTGTGTCACTCTCACCGATTCAAATAAAGCATCTGACCCACTTCAGACAACTCCAATCATGGAAGCTCTGGATAGCCAAAGAGTCCCTATGAAGTATAAAAATAAAATAAAGAGGATAGAGGTCTCGGCGTTGGACAATCCCTGATGGATACGCTATGCATTCGACTTCACTAAGCATCGTTTGGAGGTGATTGAATGCGAATCTAGCCTTTACAATGACTCAAAAAAGTGGAATAACGCTGTATCAAGCTAGTGCTGCTAACCTCCTAGATAAATCTGGTACCAATTTGCCGACCTCTTAAGAATGGAAGTCTTGGTGGGGTCGATTCCACGCGTGAGTTGCAGGGCGCCACCGACCACTGCGCCACACGCGCTCTGTTTATTATCTGAAATTTTTTCGTAAGCTACATAAAAATTTCGCAACCAAGAGATCACTACTCTAAAACGATATTAACACCAACGTGGAAACAAGGGTTAGGCAAGGCGAAACCATCTCGCCAAGATTATTTACTGCCACCCCTCGACAGCGTCATACGAACACTCTGTAATGGGACAACATGGGAGTGAAAATCGATATTCGACAATTACACCACATTCTCTGCGCTGATGAGACCGTTTCCGTAACACCAAACATAAGCCAAGATAAACGATTGATAGCCTACTTTGATAACGCTTGTGGAGAGACTGGTGTTAGACTAAATCGCACAAAAGCGATGTTGACGACGAAAGGATTGGTTACGTATACCCATTCGCTCTCAACGGAATGAATATCTCCAACTGCTCCAGTTACGTCCATCTAGATTAGGAAAACAAAATGGTGAATGACTTAGCTCTAGTGCTGACCAGGAGGACACGAGCGACTTGAGGAGCTTATAAAAGCACCGACAATCTAGTGAAGAAAATGCTCTAACATCAAAGATCAAAAATGAAAGGCGCCATTCTATGCGCTTAACTGTCGAGAATAAAATGGGCCGGAAACGTAAGGAGTATGAACTACAACCTATAAACAGGAGCTGTAAGTGACTGGATTTGCAGGGATGTCAAACATACTGGTGGACGACCACCGACCCGAATGTCAGAGTTCTTCACGAAAACCTTAGAAGAAAGATATGATGCTCGACGATTCCCTAGAACGAGCAAAACGCATTGGACTACTGTTAAACGCCAAAGGGAAAAGTAGAAGCTTCACTGGTTCCCACTCGAATCACACGATAACCAATGAAGCGACAGGTGATACAGGTGGAATCCTGCTCAACGACAAGAGTACAGTACAACTTTCAATGATGCTGAGATACAACCACAACGTTGCTGAGATATTTGCAAGAGTCTGGACCGCAGGTATCTATGGTGGGGAACGAACGCGCTATTGCCCTTTCCGGGGAGTAACGCGTTCACCATCACACCATGCGGGTTTCGTTTCGCCTGTCTCTCAGCTATTTCTATCGATCTTTGCCGCAGCAATCACCCGTCAGCGGGATTGATCTGGGACCCCCAAATCGGCATAGAACCCAGTTAAGCTGCGGCTGTAGTTGAAATCACAATGTTATACCTTTTTATTTTCTGCCTACTATAATTTCGCGATAGGGTAGTACGGCAGCCGCGAAATATAGTAGGCAGAAAATAAAAAGGTGTAACATGATGCTGAGATATTTGCAAAACTCTGGACTGCAGGTGTCTGCAGTGGGAAACGAACGCGCTATTGTCCTTTCCGGGGAGTAACGCGTTCACCACCACACCATGCGGGTCCTTAATTTCGCCTGCCTCTCAGCTAGTTTTATCGATCTTTTGCCATCAGCAATCACCCGTCAACAGGATTGATCTGGGGGGACCAAATCGGCAACGAACCCAGTTGAGCAGAGGCTGCAGTTATTATTGAAAGTTTTATTTCGCAATGTACCCCGCCGCTAAAAAGAATAGGCAGTAAATATTAAGTTAAAATTGTACAATACATCGTTAATTCTTGATTTACTTGTCATCTATGCAGTTTTAACGATGCCGTTCTGATTTATTTTCACGAAAATTGAAAACATAGTACGGTGAGCGGCGAAAAGAACATTAGAACATAGAGAACATAGCATTCCGTGGCATTCACTATTTCGAAGAAGAAGTTCAAGCGAATATGTCATGGACCTTCCACGATTTCACCGTAATACTGACTACTTGGACACTTGAGTAGTTGGACGGCCCGTCTTCACTGGATGTGTGGTCCCCAGTATAATTTCCATTTTTTCGACTTTGCTGGTTTAACCATTGTGGTTAAGCCCAGAGGTCAGCCTAGCCAAAGTTTGTCTCTGGTCTTTACCACGCTAGCCAGCCACCGCCCTTGTGGATCAGAAAGAGATTTGCCACTATGCCCCTAGTTTGATACTAGGATGGTGGTGGACCCTGGTACTGATTTACTTATAGCTGGGCTTCATAATGGAAACGCCGGACCGCTCCTCAGCTTGGGAAACGCTGCCGGGAGGATGAGCTCCACTGCCGTACATTGCAGCCCAACACCCAGGAACGCCTGCCATTCACAATGAGGCCGTAAACGATTCGGAGGAATACCGGCTACATAGAAAGAAATTCACAGCTTACGAGTAGAGTTACAACGAGCCGAAGACAAAATGACTATTGGGTTATTCCCTCTGTTCTATCTCTTAGAATAGGGCTAGCAAATCTATCTATGACATTATTTATTCGCGGAACAGAGATGATTAGAATAAACATAACCTTGCCCATGTAGTACAGTTTCTCTTGTTCTATCTTAAACTCTAATACACTGGAGTTCATCAAACGTACTTTTCCCATCTTCATCGTCGGGATTCGTATTTTGGACACAGAATCTAGACAGGCTCAAATCTGAATAAACATTTTCAAAAAATTACATATGAAGGCAGAGCAAGGTTTCTTTTATAAGACGATAGCGGTTCCACCGCTATGAAGTTATCATCTCTTGTCGAAAAACCACTTTTGACTCGAACGCGCTAATACGGATTAAATGACGTCCCTGCGAATTGAATAGCACAGTTTGGAAACAAAGGCTCCTTTCAGTGTCCAGTGCATCCAAAGGAAATTGAAGAATACTTAGTGAACTTACAATGTTCTTAGTACGGAATGAGGAAAATGACAACAGTTGATTTTTGATTTTACATGACCCATTGTCACATCTTCTGTGCAGACTCCACTGCAGGCCCCCACACTTCCTGCATTCATTTCCTTTACATCGCAATCATGTTCCACAAAAATCGTCGAACATCTTGCGTATTGTTTTAGCTACCGCTTGAGAGTTTCGTCTTCTTTACAAATGTCGTTGAATATCGGTCGAATCAATTCTACTTGCAATCATCAGGATAGCCAAGCCAAGGCGTTCCCACATAAATTGGAGAACAACGTTGTTGCGGGAATCGAACAAGCGCCTTTTGCTTCTCGATCAACGGCTTCTCGATCAACGGCATCAGTAACCACTGCGCTAACTCCACTCCATATGACAGCATAGAACGCATCATTTATGGTATTTTAGAGAACGGTAGCATCCTGAGCATACTCTACGATGTTTTGGATAACAAGATGTTGAAGGTCCTTAGAGGTCCCAAATGATAAAAGCTGTCAAGAGGGCTCTGAAATTGTCTAAAATCAAACATCAACATCACTGCTACTCGTTTTCAATGATCGAAGATCAAGAAGACATGAAATCTGATGAGATTCGTGGACAGTTGTTGATCATTGTCTATCACTATCTGAAGCTTACGAGATTCTTTCAGTTTTCTTTCTATCCGGAACCGTTAAGACGTATTAAAACGCCCTTCTTTGAGAATGTAGAATCCAGTAAACACTCTTGACGAGTTTGTAACAATGCACCTTTGGTGAAGAAACGATCACTGGACTTGTCAGAAATGAAGGTGTCTTCAGTTTCAGTTTTCAACAAACAACCTGTTTTCTATTAAACGATTTTTCGTCGCTATTCAAATCTCAAAAACTTGAGGCCTTTCATGCAGCATTTACTTAATACGGTACGGAGTATTAGCGTTAATTAAACTATCGTTCACTTTCACTGTTGTGGATTCGTAATATCAACAAAAATTTCCGAACTCCAATTCGGACTCTATTTGGAGCTACATGAATTTGTGTAAAACAAGGACTAAGGCACCACCAATCCAGCAATCGATTCGATCTAAACCTACGAGACCGTGTTTAAACTCGAAACAGTTGAATATATTAAAGCGATTTCCATTAAACTTAACGATTAATAGCGGGATCTCGGAGATTGTCCCGCAGCGTTCTCTCTGGGATAAAACCTGATTTTACGCCATAAAAACTAATCCGTCGTCCACTTTGATCTGGCCACACGACCACTATCCTCTTGTTCCTCTATTCCTACGTTTCTGCTATTACTTATTGCTCTGTTATTTCTTACACTATTGTTCACCTTAGTACGCCGTCCGTCATGTTATATTCCGTCACGTGGGTATGTCTCTTTCGTCAGTCGCACACGTCGTTATTTGTGAATCCATGTCGTCTGGTCAACAATGCAAATATTACCATTATGTTGCCATAGAAAATAGTAAAATGCATTGAAAAGGTAAACATATGACTATTTCGAACATCGCCCCAGGACTCCCTTCCCTCTAGGGTCGAGAAAATGGTAACAGATATGTCTGGGCACTCCTCACGCCCTTCTATCTACTCGAGAACGCTCCAGCGTCGCTTTCCCAGGATTCCAGAGGAAATCAACTCGATCGGCATTCAACAGCATTCCTGGCTAAGATGGCTCCTCAAGTAGTAGTCGAACCAGGATGCTAAAGGTTCGAAGACCTTTGCCGATGGTGGATACGAGGAAATGTATCGAATGCAAGAAGTGCTGGGGTTCGCGCTCAATTATATTTGTGGGCCATATAGTAACAACATAGAAAAGTGAGTTACTAAAATGCTTGACCCAAACACTGAGGGATGAATTCCGCTACAAACCTAAAGAAGACATTACAGTCAGCTGCGGGTTACCAGATCCGCTCTATTTCTCTAACTAGTGCGGTATGTTTCCAGTTCTTCAGGGTTCACACGATTCCTCAGTTTCGAGAACATGCTTGTAATCGCAGTAACAAACAGCAAAAAAGAACAGAATTAGAGCAGAAGGTAGAACACTCTGTGACTACTATTTTTCTCGAATACATAATTTTTCCCTTTTCTGAAAAGTCGTGTTGTTCATATTCCGGAAAATTCGTTTTTCTGACGCACTAGTTGCGGGCCTTTGTTATATTTCCACTGACTAATGAAGTGCTTACTAACTACTTATGATTACACATCACGAAGCTGTTTTTTGTCCAAAGTCCTGAAGAGCGTACTCACTTATTGTGAGTCTTAGTAGCCTCGTTTTCTTCACTGGTTTTTAGTGTTAAATCCCACTTCATCGTATCCCTGAAGTAGAACTGTGCTTCAAAAGTTAGCGCAAGCAACTCCGTAGATATCCCGATGGTTGCTGATAGTTTGGATTATGATCGTTCATTTGACACTCATAACGTTTCCTTTCATCGATTCTCTCCACAGCAAAGAAGGATAGGCTTCGATGAATACTCTCGTCGAATCATTAAAGACGTTAGCATAATTATTCCCCATAATGACAACATGCACATGTGATGAGATGATATCCCAATTACCTAATTCTATATAAGGTAGGCTACCAATGAACAGCAACCCATAAGTGATGAAGCGTTCAAGTGGAGTAGTGAGAGATAGACAGTATACGGTAAAGACACATAATTTTCTGTTTCTTTCGTAACCACCAGTGCTTTCGTGGCTCCAGAACTGTTCACCTTTCTTTTGGAAATGACGCCTACTTCATAAGAAAGAACATCGTACCATGAAATCACGTTTTTTCCTAGATGTGGTGTCTTGTTTCGTTCTTCATCACCAATGCTGTCACGGCTTCGGCACGCTCGCCTTCCTTTTTTGGAAAGGATACCTATCTCACAAAAGAGTACATCGATGCTATAAGCGCATACGGTCCAGGTTTAGGAGTTTTCAGTAAGTTTACGTCTTTAAAACCTCGTTCATAAGTCCATTTGAAAGTTGCTTAATTTTTGAAATGTTTTGTATATAGTTTCAAAATCTCTAGAACAAAATGAAGCATTCAAAACCAGTAGAACTTGAGTGGTGGGAATTTCTTCAGAAAAAAACATCTATAACTAAGAGGTAAATTCAATAATCATTGCCACATTTCGTATAAACTAAAAAGCCAGTTGATTTCCTGCCAATCTTTTATTATTTAAAAAATGGTGATAAAAAACTAGCACATGTAAAGACGACCCTACTATGCTCTAATTATCCTAATAAATTAACACCCATCTTAAAAATGATCACATGAGAACCTTTAAAGTGGGAAATCAATTCTGTACACACACTGCTAGAATCTTCTTTTCCGACCAACAGCTTCAAGGTATCGAATGCAGAAATACAGTAAAGTAAAATATGATAACGGTCCGCCCACTTAGGAAGGAAAAAGCCAGCTGTCTATAACTGACCAGAAAAAAGATCCACCTACTGTATTCCCCGTATACGTGTTTCTTTAATAGTCATTTCAGTAATTATGTTGCATTTCTGCTGTCCTTAGTAGGAGATCTGTAACAGATAGAAAAGGTATACGTGGCTAATCTCTACTGTTTACCACTCCGAAGTGTAATTTCAGCGCCGTACTCCTATGTCGACATATCATATGACAACATTCCATTCGTTGGGAAGATTCCAGTTCTAGGAAAAGAAGGCACATCCTCAAAGCTAGGAATATCACCGTTTTACCCACCACAGGGAAATCCAAGCAATCCCTTCCCTCCTTTATACAGGTATTTCCATAAGAGAACGCTGTTGTGGTACGCTCTGTAAACTTATCCTCTGTTCAAGGCGAATATTTTATAACTTCAAAAAACAATCTTTCGAATGCTGTACTTAGTCCTAGCATAATGTTACGCCATGGGAAATAAATATGTGAGTCAAAAATTAAGAGCACGACCACTCCCATTACATGTGCCTGAACCACAAGATGTCGTAGCCGTACCCCTTGATGAGGAAGCGCTGCATGGTGAACCTCTATTTCCCCCAGGTAAGATTTATTTCCATGAACTACCTCAGATATTTTTATTCGTAACCAATGTAATGTTTTTGGTAAAGAGATCAACTTTGAAACTTGCTTCTTAACACGTTGGCTGACGGCAACACCCAACTTTTTGTGGTGTGTGAGACGACGACCAATTCCCAGTCGCTCATGCGCGGACTCATATGTGGGTCGTACCGACCAAAGTACATCCACTTATTTGTGGTTGTCGATGTTGTTGGTGTTGTTGGTCGATGGCTGACGTTTCGGTGATTTCGCCTTCTTCACAGCCGTGGTGTTACGAGTGCGACCCACGAGTCCAAAGACAAAGAAGAAAGTCACAGTCCCACACGTAACATCACGGCTCTGAGGAAGGCGAAGTCGCCGAAACGCCAGCCATCGACCAACAACAACAACAACATAGCGACAACGAAGACCTATACCAACCTCGCATCAGCTAAAGAAGATCAGTTTATAAGATCATATAAATAAATATATCAACTGTCTATGCCAAGGTTTATAGAAATTTGGTCCTTTGAGTTACATCCACTTAGCGATCACCTCACCTTTCTTCTTGAATTTTTCGTCATCATACAAACACATTCCTGTCATTACTTGTTAATCGGTTTCACAGCATTTCTAGCAACTCTGCAGTACTTTTTTTGTAATATGTACTATACGGGAATGATAGTACAGTGGTAGTGATGTCCACCATCACGAGCATGATCCCAGTTCGATTCTGCCCCGGACCAACCAAACCTCCTACCTTCCGGGGTCAGAAAAATGGTACCATACTAACCTGGAAAAAAAATCACTCTCTGCAATCCAACTGGAAACGCTTCAACCTGGCTATCTCAGAACACTAAAGAGTTTTGCTGGACTAGCATTCCACGACAGCGAAGACGAAATAAAAATCCTCAAGCAGCACCCGAAGCCACATGTAAGTTGGAAGATCTTCGTGGACAGTGGATGTGAGGAAACGAATCGAATTTGAGAAGTGCTGGGATCCGTACAGTAGACGTGAAGACGGATCATAAAAAACAAAAAAATCTGTACTATAAGTACATTCACCATCGTGATGGCAAAGGAAAGAAAAAACCATAACTACTGAAGAGATCACTGGATGGGAGATGGGAGATGGGAGACGATGATGGGAGACGTTAGGCTGCCATGGCAATGATGATTGCGATGTTATTGGAGTTGTCCCGATTACATATGCTGTTATCTTGGTTATCAAGTGATCCGACGAGACAGGTTCGGAGAATTGTTTAGTTTTTTTGGCGGATCTCCATTTGGCGGATCTAGCTGATAATGTAAGAGGCGATGAAAGAAACACACCATGAAACATCGGTCGGCCCACACGGCATCCACTCTACCCAGGATCAATGCATCGATAACAAAATTTAGAAGTTGAAGATGAACTAAAGAGAACCACTAATGAAATTGATTCAAATGTACAGGGTGCACACGTGTACAGACTCAAGTTCCGGAAGGATATCTACTTATCACAAGTATCCATTCTCTTCGTAGATCCTAGAGCAGGCCAACATGCAATGAAGCGGAGACATTCTTTTCGAAGCAGTAAAGAGATCTATTGAATCACATTAAAAGAAGGCCAAAATTAAAAGGATGCCAGTACAATAGTTGCCTGATGTGATGATTACAGTGTGTTAGAAAGTGCTGATCGTAGAAGTTGGAGAATGTATATGGAATGTTCTAGAGTTCAATGACTACAAAATAAGTGAAAAGTTATAAAAACAAGAGTTACAATTATGTAGTTTTTCAAATGAAGTCTTTACGCTCTCCCAACGATTTAATGCTTTATCGTGGTTGAGAGGTGTTCCTGGATGTCGGCTTGCGATATAAAGCGTAGGGTTCATCCTCCCAGCAATACCTCTCAAGCTGAGGAGTCCGATACTTCCATCCGGAAGTGAAGCTAAGGGTGAGCCTATACCAAAATCCACCACCATTTTAGTGTGAAGCTAGTCGCGTGGTGGCAAATCTCACTCTGATCCACAAAGACTGCCTGTGATAGTGACGACATGGGGCAGACTTTGGCCAGGCTGACCTCGAGACTCCAGGGAACCACAACTGAGACCAGAAAGACTCCCAAAAATGGAAATTATGCTGAGGCCCGCACAACCAGTATGGACTGGCCATCTAAGTATCCAAGTAAGCGAAAAGAAAAACTATATATAAAAAAAGAAACAGCGTAAGACAAGATAAGTCATGACCAAGAGTAACTCATCCCAGGCAATTTGCTCTGAAACATATCAATATACTCGGTATGTTAATGTCGCAGTCAACCGTTATGCTTTAAAAATGGCTCACCTAGCGATGCAGGTGATTTCATGACTAACCAGGGTTACTATTTTTGGCTTTTCCGTAGAAGTATATTACCAGAAGAGGTCTCAAAAAAGCAAGTAAACATATGCGCAACTTATAGATTAAATAAGAAGCCATAAACGAAGAAAAAAGCAGACCATTTCCATTGTTTTGCAGAACTCGTCCTACCGTTTGAACAAAAGGGAGACATAGATGATGAAATGAGTATCAAACCAACTGATCCATTTGCATCTTCTTTGGATCAAGAAACAGTTAAGATTTTTTCCTTTACCATTTTATATTCTATACTGTACTAAAGGGTGTGTAGCACAGTGCTCGGATGCGCCCTGCAATACGCCTGGGATCGGTCCCCTTACCCAATATTCACCAGGCCTTCCATCCCTCCGGGTCAGTAAATTGGTGCCAGACTAGTGTAGGAGGATAGCGGCACTGTCTCGAAAGATCAGTAGCCACTGGGAGTCATTATAAAGTCTAAATATGCATTCAAACACTTCCAACAATGCTTAGAAGTCGAATGCACGGCGCATCCCTCAGGAATTGATCACCGCCAAGGGCTTTTTAGTCTTATACTGTATTACCCTGCGAACAGCTATACCACAGACATTTCAAAAATAAGTGATAAGAGGGCCCCTAAAGAAGTATTTTTCTATCTGAAATAACCAAAAGCGGAAGAGGAGATCAAATAAAATATTGTGGTTAAGCAAATGATTCCAGGAGATGCACTATTTTATGAATTTTTGCTTAGAATGAACTTGTCGAGTGGCCACTGGAGAAGACCAGCCTGTCAGAAAACGAGAGAGGTCGACAGGACAACACAGGTTTCTTTCATAACTTTTGGCAAAACCTTCAAGAATAGTGAACTATTTTGCGAAACAAAGTAGATATCCATGAAAACTCCACAGGATATCATTCTTTCTCAAACAATAAGAGTTTAAGAAAAAGTGCGGCGTAATACGCATTGAGAACTAAACCTTTAGCGTTGTACAATCAGAAAATAAGAATTCTCAATAAACAATATAAAGGTGACAACAACCAACTACCTTCCAGATAGTGTGGGAGAGGTCATAGAGGACAAAGTATCAGAAAGGAGCTTAATGGAAGACGAAGTGGCTGCGATGAAGCCCTCCACGATTGGAAGGCCAAAAAATCCGTTCCGATCAAAAAGAGTCAGAAGAGATTTTCTCAGATTCTTCAATTATTAACGAAACAACAGAATCTCAACACACGGTTATTCCCAGAATTACAATTCTCCAGTAATTAAAGCTATACTTCTATGCTTATCTAAGGACTGATTGAGTTTCGACTTTAATAAAACCCTACACTATGCCGTCACTTTCAATTTATTCGCAAGAGGGCGGGGGTAGAAGAGGTGAACACGTTACGTCCGGGAAAGGGTCACAGCGTGTTCGATCCACACCGCATACACCAGCGATCGCGGAGTTTTGCAAATGAAATATCTCAATACCATTATGGTTATATTTCACAGCATATGATATTTCAAAAAAGGGCTTCATTCAGCAATCCAAAAACAAAACACCAAACACAACTTACAGAAGACATTTATCACAGCTATAGCGATCAGGTAGCGCTCTTTGTAGAAACAACAACTAAGATCGAAACACTAGTGCGATTGTGGTGTCCATACGATCATTTCGGTGTTGCGGGAAATAGGAAAGAAAAAACAATAACATGTGATCTTCGAGATATACCATAAGAAAACATTATCCCTCATTGAACAACAACTTAGAGAAACAAAGCAAAAAAAGAGGAGAAAGCGTTTTTTAAAACCTAGGGCCTTTTCGGTACCAGAACCGTGCTCGAAAATCGTCACTGCCAGTTAAAAATGCAGGAGCCGTTGGAGAATGAACGAAAACACGTGTAGCCGCGGTGTGACCTAGGCAATAAAACATCTTCGGCTGATGCAGGGAAGAACCAAATTAAATGAACTTACCCAAAGCAAGCAATCGTTTTCTATCCGAGTTACGAGCATCCCATGAACATAAACTCCCAGATTTTTCGTCTGGGAAAAGCACTGGAACATTAGCGATAAGTAAATATTAACCTTTTCTCATACATGGGTGTTAAGCGGAGATCTATAGCGGAGATTCATTCGCCCAATAGTGTCCCACCCTTCCAAAATGGGAATCAGAACTCTTTCACTAGAAAAATATGACAAAGCTCTCGAGATTCTGCGGAAGAGGTGCTCATCTAACCAATAAATTACCAACGAAATGGAAAATGTTTTGGTTCTTTCACAATTCTATAGGACTGGCTATTCGAGTACTCAAGTGTACATACAATCTTCTAGGTGTCATCTTTATTTGAAAAAAATGTAATTAATATCTTTCCGAAAATAATTCCCAGTTGAAATTTAATAAAACACCATCAAAATTTGTCACGCAAACCCACAAGCTACAAGCCTAAAGACGCTTTTGAGTACCCCATGAGAACATGCTGAGCAATATCCCGATTCGTCGTTTTCTTGTTCAGCAATCGCGAGGTTTTTAAACAGCATAAAAACTTCCTCATTGGAAATCACGTAAAAAAAGCGGTTCTGAAGAAGGCGATACTGCCGAAACGTCAGCTAGTGTTGTATTGTATTGAGTTTCTCTAAGTAAATGTATGTACGCATTCATATTCTAATGCCGACGGTAACAGAAAGTGGATCCTGGGAACTGTCACAAAATATCCGGATTGTTCATTCGCTCGTGCTGCTCCGGATACACGGTTCGATGACAAGGAGTGAGTAAAAAAAACTTAGGTTCCACTTGTATAGTATTCCAAAGCGCTATTTATATACCTAGTTCGGCCCTCTTTCACATGATTAGCGGAACATCTTAATTCTATCCGCTTGTACAAAAATCTTCACAGACAACAAGTCAACTTCCTGTGTGAGTCCAGATGTTTCTTTACAATTCACTTTTTACCTATCGACAGGTTGAAAGTGGGTTGTGTGCGGCTTTCTAAATGCTGAATACAATCGGATCATGTGATCACCGAAGGTAGTTGCGGTTCCATGGGTACAGTGAAAAAGTCTGCTGCAATCCGGAATGACAAGTTTACCACTGTTTGTAGTCTAAACGACTTTTCTCTCTACGATTCTTCTTGTGTTAATCTGAACGTTGAAGATCTGGACGTTACGTAAGCTGCATAGAGGACCACTCAGCGCTATTGAAAGAGTAAGTACTACAGCGTTATTGGAAATATGTCGCATTACTGAAAGTGAAACTAGGAAAAATAGTACTTCTATTTTAGGTCAAATAACAGTGGTTGGAAATACACACCTAAGTACGCCGAAATGGTGAAAATTAGGTGGGAAGATACTTTATGCGTATAAACGACAACTGGTGAAGAAGATTCGTTACCACGTGGATCTTACAGGATGCCAAACGCACATCAAGAGGCCCGGCCCACTGGTCCATCAAGACCATGGAGCCGATGGTCAGAAGTTTTTATGAATATCCTAGAAGAAACATACGATGTTCAGCGCGTCCCTACAGAGAGCCTAACCCAAATGGCTTCTCTCGAACGCAAAAGGACAAACGAAGACATTATTAGCGAAGGCTCAAATAGATCAAAAATCAATGGAAACGCAACTGGTATAAGTGTGCAGGCTATAGCGCTTTATGTGCCATATGCTCAATGACGTAAAATGATAGAAGTTCACAGTGAAATGAATTTGCTGGCCTAGGATCTCCTATGGGTGGATACATGTTCTATTGAAAGTAAAAGGCTCATTATCCACCAAAAAAACACATAACCACTATCGTCATTAAAACTTTTTAAAAAAATTCACCATAATCCTCGTTGTGATTAAAGGTCGCTTTGACTGGGAACTCCTGTCTGCCTGTGGCTCCAGCGCCGGTATAGGCTATAAGACACCGATTTGTTGACAACTCCCACAGCTTCACTATGCTATCCATGCCGCTTGTCAATATGTACTGTAAAACGAACATATTACGTCATTTATTTTTGAAATAAATTCCTCTCTGTCATATTTAATCACAAACAAGAATCCTCAGAAATAGGTAACCAGGCAGGCACTATTCCATAGCCAAACTCTACAATTTATATATTGCAGAGCTTTATATATCTCCCAACGGTCTACCGCCTCATCATGGTTGGGAGGTATTCCTAGGTGCCGGGCTGCGATGTACAACGAGGTGATTCATCCCTTCAAGCTGAGAAGGAGTCCAGCGTTTCATTAGTTAGCCTAGCTAAGGGTAAACCAATACCAGGATCCACCACCGTCCTGCTATTCAAGCAGTTACATAGTGGTAAATCACCCTCTGATCCACAAAGCTGCGACTTCTTGTGGTAGTGAGGACTCTGGGCAGACTTTAGCCAGGCTGACCTCGGGATTCCAGGGAACCAAAATGGCTATACCAACAAAAACTTGGAAAGTGGAAACTGTACTGGGGTCCACACAATTTGTGAAAACGGGCCATTCAAGTGTCAAGCATGGTGCAAAGGAGGCTACATGTGTATATGTAGAGGATACTATGTTTCAAGACCAACTAATCATCACCTTCCCATTCCTTGTGAATTTTGCAGAACAAATAGCCGCTCCATCATGAGCTCGACTGAAAGTCTCCACACAGCGGTTTGAGATTCCGTCCCACACTTTGACATCTCCGTCCTTTGACCCAGTAACATAAAGCCGAGCGTTGTCAGAGTAATTCACCTAAAGAATACGAAAAAAGGCATCGAACATAAGTGAATGGTCAACGTAAGTACTGAGCAGCCTACATCCATCACAACGTCCTTGTGCTGGTCTCCTGGGGCAGAACAAACAAAACACTGCGCCGTCTCAACATTATACAAGCGAATGGTTGGATGATCCGTCGTTACCAAGAGAAATTCCCCGCCCGGATGAAACGATAACGCTCGAACGGGAAAAACTTCCTACAAAAGGAGTAACACATACAATTCTTTGGCAAATTACATCCTTAAAAATGCTAAGAATATAGTCTGCATCAGGAGAACAACATAAGATCCACCGATAACGTCTTCATCGCCCTTTTCACAGCAGTTTTTGAAAAGTCGAATAGTTTCACGGTCTTGTCCGTGGATCCAGATACCAAAATTTGTTCACGCGGGTGAAAGGCCACTACTGTGACTTCCTGTAAAACTTGAAAACGTAGTTCTTAATCACAGAAAACATTACAAAAGGTAAAACAAATGAATTTTTCTTCATACATCAAGATGGTCATACAGTGTTCGAATAACTGGATGGTTTGCGTCCGGACCATTCTCGCTTAATTCACCCCTTACTTCTCTAGCAATCATCCTTTCCACATCCAAAATCTTTATCGAACAATCCGCAGAACCAGTAGCCACTAGTGTACCTGAAAAAGACATGCCTCCAGTTACAAGTAAAAATTTTAGAATGAAAATTCCCTCCGTAGAAAGGTACCTCTTCCTAAATTCACATATCAAAAGCAACAGTAACAGATGCCTTCCATATGCTACTCTGTCGCATGGTATAGGTCTTCTCTATGTTTGGAGAAAACAATGAAAAACTGTTGGGTTGAAGTGAAACGAACCATCATTGTTAAAAGATGCTGTTCGACAAGCAGATTTGTGGGAAGTGAGATATATGGTTTCATAATTACAAGGTTCCGCAGAAGTAGGAACAAGGTCCGCATCAAATTCGAGGTCCAAACCAGCAGACAGGACATCGAACTGAAAAACACAAGGTGCTGTCCAAAGAATCTATTGTAGTCGTGGGTTCAAATGCAGCTTAACACACAACGGTGAAAGTTTTGCAACTCTTCGAATGCTGCAAACAGTGCGTCTCAGTGCCGGGATGTTGTTCATCATATCAATCACATCAGCTATAAAGGGAACGAAACTAGAGGAACCCAAGACTCTGCAGTAAAAGAGCTGTTTATAGTCATTCGCGACTCAAGCAATTTGTCTACTGCTAATTTCCCGCTTCTTCAACAATAGGAAGTTTCTCAACGACTAGAGTACTTCAGAGTTCTGAACAAAACTGTAGAAGAGACTTTCCGCTATTGTTCTACGGGTGTAAACGATATGTGTGCTACTACTTAATCTGTTAGCCACCGGAAAGGACTATCGCGGTTAGATCTGGCTCGGGGCCTAAGTTTTGCGAATATGTCAGCATCTTTCCAGAGATCGATAGAACTAGCTGAGAGACAGGCGAAACGAAGGACACGCATGGTGTGGTGGTGAACGCGTTACTCCCCGGAAAGGACAACAGGGCTTTCGTTCCCGCTGTGGTTATTTACTGTGTTACTACGGTCTATTACGCTAATACATTGCTGTCAGAACTTGAAAGTCCTATGCACACTATGCTGGGTCTATTTCGGCACGTTTTATACCTGAACACTTCATGCAGCTAACATAGTTATTAAAATGAAGTAACAAACAGTTAGTTAGTAGTCAAGTTACCATTCAATGAACTTCTCATAAAAGTGTATCTTTGTAAATCATTAGGTGTAGAAAATGGCTTGCCTATTCTCACACCTATTTCGATCTGCCTCCGATTAGCTATCGACTATCGTTAAAGAGTTTTGGAACCTCAAGCAATGAAAATGGAAACCATGGTGTCCCCAGTATAGCAGATAGGTTAAAATTATGTCCCACCATCAAAACACATAATAATCATGATTGGAATGCAGCTATGATGTAAGAAAGTAGGACTGAAATGCAGTGTTTGCGATAAATAGAAAGGATAAAGCTCTCGCCATTGATCAATCCTTGGGAGTGCGCCATGCATTCGACTCTTTGTAGCACTGTTGGAGGCGATTGAATACATATCTTTTCTTTACAATGACTCGCGGTGGCCTACCGATGTATCGAACCAGTGCTGCTATCCTCGCAAAGACTAGTACCACTTTGCCGACCCCTGAGGGATGGAGGGCATGGTGAGCCACGGGTGCGGGGATTGATTCCATGTGTATTGTAGGGCCCCTCCAACCACTGTGCTACATGCGCTCTTTTTTGCGACACCCATAAACAACAAGTTCTGCTTGTGCTCCAAAGCGTCAATGTCCCAACATTTAGAAACACTCCACGTTCAAGTTTTTGCATACAACGGAAAGAAAACTGCGAAACCTTACCTGCATATTTGCCTGTTTCTCCTTCGATTCTGGGTCATCGACGAATTGTTTTGCGATAGACACCAGGCGGAACAGTTTATCCGAAGGTGGTGGTGGTTGAGCTGCACATCCGATAGCTTGCGCAAGAGATAAAGCCAACTGTTGATGTCCATCATAAAATAACTGCCTTAAAACTAAAGTTAGGTTAAAAATCTGAAAGAAATATGGGCCTAGGAACGAGCGTACCAAGCCACAATAGTAATACCTACCCTATTATGAGCCTATACATATAATCGCGATCCTTTACATCAGGCTTCATGGTCCTCGTACTTCGACAACAACGTTAACTGGCGTTGTGCACCGATTGTTTACAATTAAAGGGTAGTATGGATAAGTTGAGGAGGTCCTATAGCGAAAAAAGAATTGGGTACAGTAACCAGCCAGCCCTAGTGGCGCTCCTATGTCGCTCACTTCGTCTCTTTGTACTGGTCGTTTAGGTAATTCAGTAGAAGTGCTGAAGTAGTACTGTTTCGTGTTTTCAGTGTCTGGACAATGAAGTTCAATCCTGCAGTGTCCAGGGATTCTGGAAAAAACCGTAAGCAGCATTTCAATGCTCCTTCTCATGAAAGAAGACGTATCATGTCTGCACCTCTAACTAAGGAGCTTCGTGCGAAACACGGAATCCGATCGATTCCCATTCGGTTAGAAATCTGTTTGTTTGTATAACTACTTATATTTAGTGTCGTTTCTAAAGGTTATCTTTCGTAGTTACTTTTTATTTTTTCAACACGATTAAGAGAAAGGCGAAACAAGGAACCCGCATAGTGTGGTGGGGAACATGTTAGCCACCGGAAAGGATAATACCGTGTTCGATCCCCACTACAGATACCTGCGCTCGGGAATTTTGTAAATATCTCAGCATCATTGTGAATATCTTTTATGTTAGTTGCTGGATGTTGCTATTGGTTCTGTAGATGTGGGTACACCGATAGAACTTAAGGATATCTGGAGATGAGCTAAGGTTTGTTTCAGGGTCGATGATGAAGTGATTGTAATGAGAGGACGACATCGTGGAAACACTGGGCGCGTTATCCGTTGCTATCGTAAGAAGTTTGTCATTCACGTTGATAAGATTACACGAGAGAAAGGAAATGGCTCTACTGTGCACATCGGAATCCACCCGTCAAAGGTGAGGTTTGGTTAAACTAGTTCCGGTGCACGAAAAAAGCCTTCAGGTGAGTCTTCAGCATTCATTGTTACGTTTGCTGTTGTTTTCTGCGAGTTTTCCTCATCCCGTTGTGCTGTATGACACTATTTGTTATCCGTTCACTTGCTGTGTTTTTGTTAGCCATATTAAAAATTTATATAGAAAACAGGGTGCGTGTAGTGCAGTGGTTAGAGATGCCCTGCAATATAGACGGGATCGATCTCCGCGCCCAAGGCTCAGCAAGCCTACCATCTCTCCGGGGTTTACATATTAGTACTAGATTTGTCTGGGAGGATAGCACCATTGGCTCGATACATTGGTAGGCCACCGCAAGTGATTGTAAAGGCCAGATATGCATTGAATCACGTCCAAACGATGCTTAATGAAGTCGAATGAATAGTGCATCCCTCAGGGATAGATCAACGCCAAGCTTTTTGTACTTTTTTTATATTGGAAATTTATGTTAAATATGTAGACAGTGCCACAAGGTCGAGAATTTTGGCCGTTCTCTTTGTCCTAATTGCATCCTTGACTGTTTTAGCAAGTGTTTGACCATGGCTGTGAACTTTAGGTTGCGCTCACAAAGTTGAAGCTTGACAAAGATCGTCGTGATCTGGTGGAACGAAAGGCTGCAGGACGAGCCAAAGCAATTGGAATGCTCAAAGGGAAGCATACCGATGAGAGTGTGGCTTAAATCCTTTGTTATTGTTTCTTGTTGAATAAAGTTTTGGAACATATTTACAGGGATAAGAGCACTGCACATTTCACAGATTTGGGCGTTTTAAAGTAGCCGGGAATGTATAAGGAAGCATTGTTGGGGAAACGAGGAATTCTATTGGTCTGAAAGTGAAGTAATTTACGTGGCCAGCTTTATCTCTGCGTGGAGCGCCTCCTGCGATGCAACTAAGGACCACGTATCGGCTTCATACCGATTATTTAAGGAGCAAGGATTGGATAAAGTTGGTTAAACATTGGTTGTACAGATCAAGTTTAGTTCGCTGATGGGCTGTTTTGTGTGGCCAGTTGTGTGGAATGGTTCCGAATGCAGATGTAATTGCGTCGAGGGTGAGCAGCTATAATAGGAAAAACGAATGACAGATCGACGAAAAGAAGTGGAGTAGACTTCAACAGTATGCAAGAGTCTTCCTCGACGACGGCCTACAAGTTGGGCTGAAGGATTAATGGCTGACGGCGACCATTTGCATCCACCGAGGAGAACGAGTTGTAGATTTCGAAGTACGTTCTGATCAGAGTACTACCATGGACGATGATTGAATGAGAGAGACAAGATCGGAAAGTGTGCTGGAACACATTATTTTTGGAAGACGGGCCATCTAAGTATTTGTGCAACCCCACACATTGCACAGATATCAGCACTTCCATTCATTTCGTAGCCTTGGATCACATTCATCAACGGGGTTCTTCAGGTTTGTGCGTAGGTTCAACTACCAGTTATGGATTCTTTGGCATTCTTTTTTCAGTGCTGTTTAAGGCTGGTTGAGCTCAAGATCCCCAGAGTTCTGAGATAGCTGTGCTAGGGCGTTAGAGGGTCTTCAATACAAGTAGTGTTAAGCCTTTATGGATAGAAGGAAGCTTTCAACAGACCAGTCCGGCGACGATTTGGTGATTCTGGAGAAATGAAGGACTTGGTTGGCCTAGAATGGGATCGAATCGGAGATCATACATGTGTCCCAGCATAATTCCCACTTTTTCGGAGTTTTCCTGTTTTAGCCATTGTGGATCCCTGGAGTTCCGTAGTCAGACTAACCAAAGTCTGGCCCAGGTCGTCACCATAATAGGTAGTCGCTGAAGTTGTGGATTAGAGGGAGATTTGCCCCATGCGATTAGTTTGATCCCAGGACCGTGGTGGACTCTGGTATTAGTTTACTCTTAGCTGGGCTTCCTGATGGAAACGCCGGAGTCCGCAATCTCTGCTGTGGAGACAAACACCATCGCTGTACATCACAGCCCCAGCCCGACATCCAGGAACACCTCCGAGCCACGATAAGGCGTTAAACCGCTGGGAACGGTGTTCAGAAATGTCAAAATAAACTACGAAATGTAAGTGAAGGGGTGATCAGAAGCCAGGAAGTCCTTGTTTTTCTTTTGGGATTTTATCGCATAAGATCTCTGAAAACCGAAGAATAGTTGCTTATGAAGTAGTTTCTAAAAAGCGGAAATGGACGCTTACAGCTTCCCTTATGCAAGTACTAGCAAAATAACGTTTATTATGACTATTAAAGCTTAACGTTTATAAGTTCTGCAGTAATCAAAACAATAAATACCCGTAGATATAAGTATTTCCATTGCTGACCAACCTGAGGCTAAAATTAGCTAAACATTTTAAGGATTACGGTAATTTGCTATGTGCGTACCGCGTCCGCATGTTGGTTGGCCTTCACCTGTTATTTTAGTTCTTAGGTATCTTAATGTAATTGTTGAGATCTTGTAGGAGCTATAAATAGTACTTGTAGCTACTTTTAACATTTACATATTTGCAAGTACTTCATAGTATTTTTGTCAGTACTCGTGAGCACTTTAATACGATTTCTTCTGTTCAGTGATGAACGTTCTCTACGTTAGGAATAAGACGTAGAAGGTTTAAGTTCTTAACTAACTTTTTTCTGCTGACTTCTAAAACTTATCTTCAGCACTCCACTGTTTTACTGCATTCGTCTTCCAATAATTTACTTTGATAAGATTCATTTTGTCTTTCTCTTTTTTTCTGTTCCTCCTTCATGTCTTGTTGCTAGTTCTGTATTCCACAGGTTGACGTGGAACATTGCTACTACTACTTCTTCGTATTTACATGTAGCTAAGTAGTTTTAGTGATGGCAGGTTCTTCGATATTAACGCCTGAAAGAAGAATTGAGCTGAATCCTTTCGATATAGATGCATGGAATCTGATTCTTAGAGAGTCACAGGTATATTATATTTGTTTTCACTATTGTACACAGACATACTATATATGTACAGTATATATACATATATATATGCATTGTGATTTCGACTAAGGCTTCAGCTTAATTAGGGTTAATGCCGATTTGGGCTTCCCAGATCAGTCCTGCTGACGGGTGATTGCCGATGGCAGCGTTCACCTGTATCACCTTTAGTCCCGTTGATCGTCGAGTGACCCGAGCGGGCGCCAGTAAATCTCCCATTTTTCACTGTCGCGTGCAAGCGTAGTCCAGTTGGTTCTGCTTGCTCTAGGGACTCCTCGATTAACATATCTTTCTTCTAGGTTTTTCGTGAAGAACTCTGACATTGGGTCGGTGGACTCCTTGCAGTACGTTTGATATCCCTAGGAATCCAGTCACTAACGGCTCCTGTCCATCATCTGTCATTCATACGCCTTACGTGTCCGGCCCACCTTATCGTCGACTGTTTGGCTGTTTGGCGTACAGTACCGAATCTTTGATTTTTGATCGTTGACGCAGGTGGGAGCATCGGATCCCAACCCTTACTTGTGTGGAACGGGATACTCCTAGCATCGTCCTTTCGACTGAGCATTCGATAACGCTGAGTGATCTTTCATCCTGCTTACGCTGCGACCAGGTTTCTGACTCATGTGTTAGGACAAGAAGTATCGTTGAGTCGAAAAGGTGGGTAGGGAGTCGAGTGTTCTTTGTTCTCTTTACTACATCCTCGATGCTCTTGAAAGCTCTCCAAGCCGCTCGTTTTCTTCTGCTCAGCTCTGGCGCTAGATCGTTCATCATATTGATTTCCCGACCTAGATAGATATAACTGGAGCATTCGGAGATATTTGTTCCGTTGAGCGTGAATGGGGCATGCGAAACCAATCCGTTCCTCATGAACATCGTTTTTGTGAGATTTAGTCGAAGATCAGTCTTTCCACAGACTTTATCAATGTCGTCAAGCATACGTTCCGCTTGGCTAATGTTTGGTGGTTATAAGGACGATGTCATCAGCAAAGCGAAGATGGTGTAACTGCCGACCGTATATTTTCACCCCCATATTATCCCATTCCAATGTTCGTATGACGTTCTGGAGGGTGGCGGTAAATAATTTTGGTGAGATGGTATCGCCTTGCCTAACTCCTCTTTTGACGTTAGTGTTAATATCGTTGTAGAGTGGTGATATCTTGGTTGTGAAATTTTTGTACAGCTCGCGAAGTATCTTTATGTACTGAGTAGGGACTTCTTGACTATCAAGGGGTTCCAAGACTGCTATCTTAACTGAATTAAAGGCCTGTAAATCGATGAAAGTGGGACAGAGCGGTCTTTTGTGCTCTCGCGACACTTCAATGAGCCGTGTTACCGTATGGATTTGGTCCATCTTCCTAAATCCTCTTCGAAACCCTCCTTGCTCACTTGGCTGTCCTTCGTCTAGCGTTCTGTCAATTCTGTTTATGATGACTCGAGTGAAAGTTTCTAGACGGCAGACAGTGAGGGGATTGGGCGATAGTTGCCGTTATCGTTCAGGTCACCCTTCTTGAACAATAACAGGGTCTTGCTGGTCTTTCACTGAGTAGGGACCTTGAATTCAGACAGGTAACATGTGAAGAGCCGAGCCAGTGTGTTTACGAGGACTAGCGGAAGGTTCTTCAGGTTTTCTGGTCTTATCCTGTCCGAACCTGGTGCTGTTCGATTTTTCACCGACGAAATGGCATGTCGGATTCCGGAAAGGAGAACCGGTGGTAGAACATATCCATCCTCCTTTATTTCATATGACGGAGGGTGGACATGACCATCGAAGAGATCCGAGTAGTATTCGTGAATGGTTTTCTCCATTGCCTTTCTGGACGTTGTAACTGTTCCATCTGGGGGCCCGAGTGCAATCATCTTCGTCTTATAATTCGCGAGGTTTCGTTGGGCTTTGCGAATGCTTTTCCAAACCTGTATAGCTTCGGCCATTACTGCTGCCCCTCTCTCTCTAAGATCTTCTTCTATCACCTGTCTACATTGTTTTGCAAGTTCGGACGTTAGTTAGCGGTTGCTTGCAGCTCGTGCGATTCCACGCTGGAGTGTCGGCTCGAGTGTTTCTCGACACAGACGTCTCTTGATGACTTTCGAACTCTGGGCTTTCATAGCGCTAGCGTGAAGATGTTGAATGAGCCGATCGTATTTTTCGTCGATGTTATCGACAGCGGCATCTTCCCAACAGCCGACTAATGAATTGAATAAATCCCAGTTTGCAATTAAGAATTCTTGCTTGCATGAGCAAGTCTTCTATTGAGGTCTCGGATGCAAGTGTACGTGCATTGTAGGTACATATCGTCGCCATAGTCCTTTGAAATCCAGGTAGCGTTAGGTAGAAAAGTAGCTGAGAGAAATGCAAAGCAAGTGAATCCGTGGCGTAGTTTGTAATACGCGGGCAACCGAAAGGCGTAGTCGTGGTTCGATCTGGTCGTGGGTCCAAGTTTTGCGAATATCTCAGCATCGTTGTGGTTGTATTTCACACCATTATATATTATTTCCTTTGTGGTGCACTTATATTTTTATGTTACATATTATTATATGCTATGTTATCGTCACGGGTATGTAGAGGTATAGGTATATTCTGATTAGATACGATTTCCTGGACGTAGTTGTTCGCTAAATTTGAGCATTGTAGGCCAGACCGATAGACCAAGCTCGGAATTTCTATGAAAAATTGGTGACTCAATTCCCGAATGCTGGACGATACTGGAAAGCGTACATCGAACATGAAGTGAGTTCAATTCGTACTTTTTCCTTAGGGGTGAATTCTACTTTTGTAGTGTGAACATCAACCGGTTCAACCGTGAGTGATTCTGCTCATGTTGCAGTTGGCTATCTTGCGGCTCTGTTCATGTCATGTCTCACCCCGGCTATCCGATAGCGGACGCCACATCTTCTTTCACTTCTTTCTTTCTTGTTCCCCCTGTTCTCCCATTCCCATGAACAATAAATATTTGCTTGTCGGCAGCACATTCCGTAGTTTCGTAGTAGTTTCGCTTTTTCTGGTAATCATCAAATACATTGCGAATAAATATTATTGGCCGATATCGAAGTAGTATGTTGAATAGAGGAATCAGAGTTAAACAAATGAGAAACGTTCTCTCGTCCACATCATTATGTGGAGCTGGCAGGGTTCGTATTCAAGACCTGCTTCATCAGGAGGCCAAAGAATCCACACTGTTTGTGGCTTTCTGGTTGGTTAGACTTTATGTGCTTCAATAATCTATTCATGAGCAGGTGATTCTATTCTTTGTTTTTTATGTAACAAAGTATCTATCGTTTTGAATGTAAGGATTAACACGTCATTTTTGTTTCAATTTCAGCTCCGTGGAAAAAACTTCGAGAATGTCGAGAACGTAGGTTTTATTGTTGCTTCTGCTTCGATATTTTCATAGTTACAAGTATAAAGGCCATGACATTTTAGTTATTCAACCGTTGTTTGGTAAAGGTCTTAAATATTGACCTTTGGAAGTGTTACGTTTTCTATGTACGAGAGACAAAAGGTCATCTGAGTTCTTTTAGGTGGGAGTTTCTCTTGGCTCTACGTAGACAGTTGTTTTATCATGACATCTCGTTTCGCACTTAAACTTTTTATGCCGACGTTTAGGGAGAAAATGGCTAAGGCTTATGATTTCGCTCTGGATAAGGTTGGGCTTGACATGAACTCATACTCCATCTATTCGGATTACATCTCATTCTTAAAGACTGTGTAAGTTAAATAGCGACTATTTTTGTCTATTAAGACCAATTTCATTCTTGCTTTAAAAGTGGTGTCCAAAGTTACTTACCTACTTACTTGGATACTGGGATGTTCTGTATTCAGTGGTTATGCGGGCGCAGCATAATTTCCATTTTTTCGGAGCTTTGCTGGTTTAGCCACTGTGGTTCCCTCGGGTCTCGTGGTCAGCCTAGCCGAAGTCTTTCTCAGGTCCGTCACCACCACAGACAGTTGCGGCCTTTGTGGACCACAGCGAGATTCGCCACCATGCGACTAGATTGATATCAGGACGATGGTGGATCCTGGTATCGTTAGCTGGGGTTCTGGTGAACACGTCGAACGATTTTAAAGTTAACACTTATAATTAAAGTTCTTTGGGTTCAGTGTGTCTTGAAATATTGTTTTTCAACAACATGTCGCCTTATCAAACCTGCATTCCTTTTCTGTGATGATGGACGCATTTGTTACTGTCTCACTGCGTTGATTTACAGCCCTGCCGTTGGACAGTATGCGGAAAACCAGAGAATTTCTGCAGTGCGGAAGATTTATCAACGTGGAATTTCTACACCGATGGTAAACATAGAATCGCTGTGGTCTGATTACTGTAACTACGAAAAGAGTATCAATCCAACTCTCGCGGAGAAACTAATTTCAGAGCGTAACAAGGAATATCAGGTGTTTAACAATGTATTGATCTTCTCAGATTGAATAGCAAACTTTTTTGACCTACGCGAAGCAGTATGTTCAAGGTTTCCAAGAAAATTGCCAAACAACTAGAAGCTGTAACTCGGGGTGTCAACCGGCAGGCTGTTTCTGTTCCGCCTCGTGGCACTGCTCCTGAAATGAAACAGGTGGATCTAACTACGGATTGGAGTTCTACTACAATATTGGACTTGTGCTTGCATTTTCTGCGTTAAGAAGTTTTGTTAAAATTCGACGGTTATTAGGTGGAGATGTGGAAGAAGTATATCCAGTGGGAGAAGAGCAATCCTATGGAGACCGAAGAGTATGGGCAGTTTGCAAAGCGTGGTAAGTGTCGATCGTCGTATTGTGGCTCTGTTCATTGTTTCTAAGTTACTTTTTTCTTACCAGTTGTAGAAAACTACTTTGTTTAGTGGTTTATGCTTACGAACAATCATTGTTGTGTCTTGGGTATTATCCTGATATGTGGTATGAAGCGGCATTGTTTCTTCAACAGGCTGGTAAACAACTGGAAGAAAAAGGAGATGTGAAACTTGCCCAACAAATGACTGCTGAAGCTATGCGTGAGCTTGGATGTTTCGAGCACACTTATCAATTAGTATGCTTTAGGCTTTGCTCTTATATTTTAGAGCTTTTTGATCGAGCAATCTCTGGCTTGATGAAGCACTCGCAGCTGCTGTACTTCGCATACGCTGATTTCGAGGAAGAACGAATGAAATTTGACAACGTTAAGAAGATCTATGATAATCTGCTCGCCATTGACCATATTGATCCAACTTTGGTATGCAAAAATGTGGCGCTGTTACAACATTTGTTCTTTATGCCAAAGCTGGTGGTTTAAGACGTACATCCAGTTGATGAAGTTTACTCGTCGTACCGAGGGAGTTCGAGCAGCGAGAGCGGTATTCAAGAGGGCGCGCGAGGATAATCGTTGTCGGCATCATGTATTTATCGCCGCAGCTCTCATGGAATTCTACTGCAGTAAGGTATTGTTGTTTTCATAACGTATAGAAGAGTTCCAGAATCAAATAAGCTTATACTTCCTGCACGTTGCTTTTTCTATTTCATTTCATCCATTGTTTAGGACAAAGACGTGGCTATGCGGGTGTTTGATCTCGGCTTAAAGAAATATGGCGATGAACCAGAATATGCATGCGCTTACGTTGATTTTTTGACCCACTTGAACGGTACTCTTTAGTTCCTAGTATTTGTTTCCCTTCATACTATTTAATATATTATTGTAGAAGATAATAACACCCGAGTTGTGTTCGAGCGTATTCTTACTTCTGAAGCCCTTTCGCCGGAAAAGTCATCGTGAGTGGATTTGTAAAAGTTAAGCTTCATGCAGCACTAGGTACCTATGCAGCGAAACATTTGTTAAGAGATATTTGGGATCGATATCTGGAATTTGAGTCTCTGGTGGGTGATTTGGCTAGTACTCTTAAAGTTGACGAAAGACGCAAAGCTGCTGTTACTGGCGGCAGAGATGAGGGGACAACGTTAATGTTGATTGATAGGTAAGTTCTCCAAATGTCACTTTCGTATTCACAATTTAAGTTTATTTGAATGCAAGTCTTGTCCTTAAAGTCCTGTCTTGAAGTCGTATCTTGCTCAGTTCTTCACTTTCAGATATCGGTTTCTGAACCTTGTTCCGTGCACATTGGATCAATTGAAACTCATGGGTTATAATGTACGTGAATGAGTTAAATTTAACTGCGTTGTTCACCGTAGTATATATACTCGATTTACATAGTAGAGCTCATTGTTGACAATTATTTCGATTGTTTTATCACTGCAAGCATACCAAAAATTCAGAACTCAGTTGTTCATATTCCGTTTAGGAATTCTTAGAAGCATCGGGTTTTCCACTATTAAAGAATGAAATCCTGTCCAAGCTTTAAATTGACGTACACCTAAAGTTGGTGTTCAGAAGTCCAATACTGGTATGATTGGTGGTATGACAGGCGTCTCCACAGGTTCTTTAATGGCGCCACAACGAAATTTGCCAACCCCCCAGGCAGCAAGTGTGGTAATGGGTGGTGCGTCAAGTGTGCAGCTTGAAATTGAAGGGTAGGTTTTCTTGTATCGTTTAAATTCTTTTTGTCCCCTAGTTATTCTCTGGTTCTTTTCAGATATCCTCGTCCTGATATTGATCAAATGATTCCTTTCAAACCAAAGGCGAACAGTGCGGCATCATTTCATCCCATACCTGGTGGTAAGCGTTTATATAAGTGCAATTGTTTTATCTCCGAAGTTGTTTTATACGTTGAATCCACTTAAGGTGTTTTTCCACCCCCGCCTGCTGTTGCTGAACTTATTTCACTGTTACCGCCTCCGTGGACCTTCCAAGGACCATTCGTTTCCGTTGATCTCTTTATAGATCATATTAGCAAGACGCAGCTGACTATTGGTGTGATAAATTTTTTTGTGTTTAATTTTGAATATTTATACTTCATAGAACTTGTGTTACTCCTTAAATGTCACTCATGTGAGGTGCTGCTAACTAACAAATTTAAGTTCTACCAAATTTGGCGCAGTTTTTTTTCAAGCGCATTTTGTAAGCCAGTAAAGCCTCACAGATCTTTGTCATATTAAGCATCTTGTGCTATTTTGTTGAAAATAAGGTAGCGCTACACAGGGTTATAGACAGGGATATAAGGTGAAACTAAAAAGGACCATTTGTTTCCTGTGTTCGCCAGTCGGTTTTCAGCTACCTGTTTACGCTGTGAAGAATTGATTTGTACAACTGTATACATGTCAACTTATGCATAAGCCCCTTTATCGACTGGATGCCTACAGTTCGACAACTAAAAATACTTGAAAATAGCTCGTTGTCGCTTTCATCAGATGGCATTACGTCTATTTGGGGTAGTCTGGTACATTACTTGCCACTATATTGGAGCTTCATGATAGAATTAGACAAATTGTACATAGGTGTTCCCTCTGAACAAGAAAAAAGACATCCAACAACTCTGATGAGATTCAGGAAAGTTCATTGTCGATATTTCCATCCCACGGTACAATTTAGAGGAAACGGAGCTGTTTTATCTGAACTCATAGAAGCTATGCAAAGGAAAATACATAGTGGCCGCCAAGTACAGGAAAACAGTCAAGATTACCACCATTTCCATTTTTCTTGCTCATTTTTGAATAATCCTGTTATGTATTCTATCGGTGAGACATGCAGTCATTCACCTTTTTCTAATTTCTCCATATTGCTTAGAAACCGAAGAATTTGGAAGTCACCAAAGCGAACCGATCTTACACGAGGGGAAAGGAACCGCAAGTTTATGGTACCGTGCAGAATTCTGCAACCGCTGAGAAATAGTGCATCGTAAAGAATAAATGCGTTTCATTGATGCGTCTTTATCTGGAAGAAGTTTCCGTGCGATGTGTTGGAATGGACCTTCCTAATGCAGGGGTCTCATGGAGGTTAGTCGCCAGGCAACGTGGCGTGTCCACAGGTAGCGAAGAGGGTGTTAATCGCGGCCCAAAACCGACCTTCCTTTGAGACGTAGGTGATGAATCCAAGAGATGGATTCCATTTCACTACTATGCCGCTTTAAGAAAAGTACTCTCTGTGCTCGCGAATACATCCATGCATGCATGCGTGAATGTATTCTCTTTTATGTCGATTGTATTCTACGAGTCCATTCGGCCTGAAATCAACACTGACGTCGTCCAACAAATAAGCTCCATGTCCACTCTGGGAGAGACTGACAAACTACGCATGAGTAAATCCAGTTCCCACGTTCAGAGGCCAGCAAGCTATACGTGTGTTTTAAACGTTAGACACAGTGAAATAAACGGGCCTCATTCACCTGATCCGAAAGAGCTCCGATTCGGCACCGTTGGGTAAAGTGAGTGCAGAGAGGGTGATAAGGTCTCACGGACATTGTAGGTTGCCTAGATCGGAAAGGATTAAGATAACGATATGTGATTACTATGCACGCGCGCTTACATATGAGTCCTCGACAGACAACTGGATTATGCATGCAAAATGGATTAGCCACGACTTCATCCGAGACGAGAAGACGCCATCCATTCAACGGCATTATGAAACGCGAGAAAAACTGTTCCTCGGGACATGCGACAGTAGAGAAGTTGGCAGTGTCGGTTTTCTCGCTAACATGAGTTTGTCCATGAACATCGATTAATTCGAACAGCTAACAACCCGAACCAGACGTTTACGATTAATAAGATGTGGATCAATACCAGCTTTGACAATCTTCGTCGTTTGTGCGCCGACAGACACCAATCTGTAACTAAGAGGTCGAAGGATTCTATATGGACTTGAACAAGTTTTGCAGACAAGACCATACATTCTTTAAGGTCGTCATTGAAGATTTCAACACCAAGATTGGCCCAAGAAGAACGTCACATTGGGACCCATAGATTAGAATGGGACGAACAGGGTGTGCTGTTTTCTGAGTTTATCATGACGACCAAGACCATCCATAGTAACTCGCAATTCCAGAAGCCCCAACGTCAACGCTGGATGTGGGAGTCTCCCATCGTAGTGTTCCCCTTACACCCAAAAAGTCGTAATTTCGCGGCGTTAGGTAGTACGAGTACGGAGAGGCTGCTAAAATCTCAGGGCCAATGGAAGCTGCCTGGATTACAAAGGGTGACGTTCTGTACTTACTATGAACGTTCAGTTGCATCCGAGTCCTCGATGGAAAACTTCCTCATGCAAGCAAGAAGGATAAGGTACGACGTCATCGACCTGGCCGAGAGGAGACGACGGCACCCATTCAACGCCGTCTATGATACCGGAATAAAACTGTCCCTCGGAACATGCAACAGTAGAGGAATCGGTGGCGTTGGCGTTCTCGTCAACACGAGTTTGTCCATGAACATTGATTCATTCGAGCAAATATCAACCCGAATCGGACGTTTGTGATTGAAAAGATGTGGATCGTTACCGGCTTTAACAACTTTCGTCCTTACGCGCAGGTATCAAGCTATTAAGAAGACGTAGTCGAAGTTTTCTATACGGACTTGCAGAATCTGTATATTGTAGACCACACATTCTTTAAGGTCGTCAACGGATATTTCAATGCGTAGATTAGACCCAGAGAAACGTCACACTGAAGCCCACAGATTAGAGAACCAGTTCTCAACGTTGTACGTGGGAATCTCCCAGTAGAGAGTGCTATATAGAAATAGACCTGTTCATATTAAATAGAATGATTTGCCTAACCGATGTTGCTGTTGTTACAGAATTCTATACGAGATAAGACCATCGCCGCCTTCGTGCAAGATTCCATTTTTCGCGGAAAAGAGGGAAAACCGCTAAATTCAAAAAATGAGGTCCCAGAACCACCATAAACTGGGACTTATTCAACTCATTAGTCGGCTGTTGGGAAGATGCCGTTGTCGATAACACTGACAGGGAATACGATCGGCTCATTCAATATCTTCACGTTAGCGTTTCGAAAGCTGAGAGTTCGAAACCGAAAATCGCCAAGTGACGTCTTTCTCCACAAATACTCCAGCTGATACGTCAGCGTGGAGTCACACGAACAGCAGGCAACCGCTATCTCACGTCGGAATTTGCAAAACAGTGCAGATTGGCAATAAAAGAAGGTTTTGAACAGAGAAGAGCAGCAGTTTCGGTCGAAGCTGCAGAGGGTGGGGAAAGCATTCGCAAACCACACCGGATCTTCATCAATAACAAGTTCGACATGGTTGCACTCTGATCGCCACACTGAACAATTACAGCTTTCAGAATGATAGTGAAAAAAATCATTCATGACTACTAGCATTTGTTCGTGAGCCACTTCTCCCAGCTCCATGCGAAATGGAAGATGGAGACGTCTCCCCACCGGTCCTCTCTTCCGGAATCCAACGTAATATTTCATTGGTGGTGAAAAAACACTGTCCAGACGGTAAAATCTGAACAGCTGATGAACCTTCCGTTAGACCTCATATATACACTGGCGCTATTCACACGTCTGTCAGAATACAAGGTTCCTATTCGTTAAAAAAGGGTGACCTTCACGATGTGGGCAAATGTTGCCCAATGTGCTCGGTGTTTATTATCTACAAACTTTTCGTTCAAGTGGTCTAAACAGGATTGACAGAGCGCTGGACGAGGAAGAGCCATGTAAGCAAACAGGCTTTTAAGAAAAGTGCACTACCATAGACCACATCCATCCGAAAACAAGACAGTGAAATATCGCGAGAGTTCCCAAGATCGACTTTCTGTTAACGTCGACACTGGAATATGAATACGTCATTTTCTTGTTCAGCAATCGCGCCATTGTTATACAGCTTACATTTACTTTCATAGAAAAACACAATAGAATACAACAGTAGCTGACGTTTCAACAGTATCGCCTTGTTCAGAGCCTGGAAGGGGACTGATGGACAGTTTACTATGCCAAACGCTTCAATAACACAAAAAGAAGAAAAACTCTATGGCAATTACATGATCAATAGCTTCTCAAAAAACTCACCGCTTTTTACGTGACTTCCAGTGAGGAAGATTAGAACAGCTGATTATAGTGGTATATGGTTGATGACTGCACCATCCTACATCAGAAATTCTTGCGAACATACGGCGCTAGGTCGTGTGTGACCTCGGCACATTACTCTCTGCTATTCACTGTAGGGTTTTTGGCTCATATCCAAATAACCTCTACAAGTTTTCGCGTTGGTATTTTAGTCTTCTGTGCAAGGATACTGACTTTTACTTCAAAATCATCCTCGCTATGTTTTTGTATCTTACGCGTGCGTAGTAGCGTATCTTCCCTTGTTTTTTGTTTGCCATTTAGGTGTTTTTTTGTACGGATACGCAAAGATCTGCCCGTTTCACCAATATATTTATCTCCCCAATTATTACAAGAGATCAGGTATATTGTATGAACTCATGCAATCATCGTTGCTGCCCCAGGGGCAATTTACGCAATTTGTTGTTTCACACAGACGGTCATGCAGGCGGTTACGAAAAAGTCAATATCCTTGCACAGGAGACTAAAATACCAGCTCGAAAACTGCTTGAGGCTTTTTGGATAAATTCCAAAAACCCTACAATGAATAGCAGGGAGGAATGTCCAGAGGTCACACTCAATCTGGCCCAGTGTGTTCGCATCAATTTCTGATGTAAGGTGGTGCAGTCATCAACCATGCGTGACTGTAATCAGCTATTCTAATCTTCATCATTGGAAGTCACGAAAAAAGTGGTGAGTTTTTCGAGAAGCTGTTGATCATGTAATTGCCGTAGAGTTTTTCATCTTTTTGTATTATTGAAGCGTTTGGTCCAGTAAATTGTATATCAATGTACCCTTCTAGGCTCTGAAGAAGGCGATTCTGCCGAAACAGCTACTACTGCATTTTATTGTGTTTTTCCATGGAAGTAAATGTGTGCTGTATAATAGCCTCGCGATTGTGGACGAGAAAACGATGCATTCACATCGCATGAGTACAAGAAAACGCTGTGCCTTAGTTTCACCGATCTTAAAAAAACTTTTGACTCAGCTGAAATAGAATCAGTAATGCTCGGTGCATAAAGGTCCTTCGTGAGCTGTATAGAAGCGTCACATTGTTTCACCATTCTATAACGATATTAAAATAAACATAAAAAGAAGCACTAATCAGGCTAATACCACCTCGCTAAAATTATTTGCTGCAATCGTTCGGAATATTATAGGAACATTGGAATGGGATAACATGGAGTGAAAATGGACTGTAGGCAGTTATACTATCTTTGTTTTGCTAGTAATATCGTTTTTACAACAGGAAGAATTTGCCATGCAGAACGAATGCTAACCGACTTTGATAACGCTTGTGGAAAGACTGGTCTTCGGTTGAAGTTCACCAAAGTGATGTTCATGAAGAACGGATTGGTTGCATATGCGCCATTCACTCTCAGCGGTTTGAATATCTCCGAATGCCTCAGTTACGTCTATCTATTTCGTAAAAATCAACATGATGAGCGACGTAGCTCTAGTGTTGAGTAGAAGGGTGCATGCGGTTTCGGGAGCTGGAGAGCATCAAGGATGTAATGTAAGAGCGAAGAACATCTTACCCCGTCCTGTAGGACTCTACGATTCTTCCTGTTTTAATGGTTTCATCAGGAACCTGGTCGCTGCGTGAGGAGGATGGAAGATTACTTGGCGTTATAGAGCTCCCATTCAAATTGATCATTCTAAGAGTATCCTGTTTCACGCAAGCATCAGAGGAGATCCGAAGTTCTGATCTTCGTCAACGATCAGAAATCAACGAAACCGTTCTATACGCTCAACCGACTTAGACAAAATGGGCCGGACTCATAATGCATCTGAGGGACAACCAATGGACAGGAACCGTTAGTGACTGGATTGTTCCGGATGGGAAACGTACAAGAACACCACCGACTCGACGGTCAGAATTCTTCATGAGTACCTTGGGAAATAGGTATGAAGCTCAACGATTTTTTAGAACGAGCATAGCATAATGGACTACTCTTGAATGCGGCAGAGAAAAATGAAGGATTTGCTGGCGCCCGCTCGACTCATTCGATTATCAGTGGACGACGGGTGACATGGGTGACACCATTTGTTAGGACTGTACCAGTTACATCATTAGGACGCCCTTGCGTAGATGCTATATCGATAGCTATTTAAGATTTGTACTCTAGTATCTTCGATGACCACAACCACCTATGAACTATTTTCAGCGTGCAACATAGTATTATCGTATTAAAGAAAATTACAATACCGGTTTTTCAAAATAGCTTGTGTTTGCATAATATACCACCGAATAATGAACAAATATGTGAGCAGCATCATTTCGAAAGGGATCCAGTGCGATGCATCGTGTGTGCTCGGTTATGGAGCTTTTAATTAGGAAATTGAGGCGTCATTGTTTATATAAAGAATTAAAGGCCGATAATCACCACGATGATAGCGTTGTTCTCATATGAAACGTTAACCAGTAGGATAGAAGCTTACTGTTTTCGAAAACTTTACGAAAAACCGGTCTGCTACTGATTAACACTTCGCCGGACAGGCATACCCAAGTGTTCCAGCTGTATTTATCTTAATAGGCGGTCATTATGGCGAGCGCTTTTGTTTAAAATGTCTGAAGGAAGGGAATGAATAGGAAAACGTGCGGCTGCTTCGATGAAGTACTAGAAAAGAGAAATAACACCTGGCTAGCTTTAAGTGGACTCCTACGATCTTTGCTCCACTATTGTACATTTCAGGAACGTGATCTACGTAATCTATATAAAAAATTGGCTAGTGTTATTTAGTATGCTTTTGCAGACAATAACGTTATGGGTATTCGGCTTCATTTAATTGGTAAAAGGATAGTAGGTTCTGAAAAACGTTGGTGATCAAAGATCGGTGGTGCTGCCAATTACACTCAGGTGTCTAAAATCAAATAGGCTGAATTACGCTGTTACTATATAATTTGTTACAATTATTAAACTAGATTTAAGCCATTAATGATTTTAACGGGACTACACGAGTCACGATTGATTGGACCGCGGATTGTAGAGATGACAGTTTTCACCTTTATGCTTAGTGGCTTTATTTATGCTCGTAATTTGACTAGACTTTCTTGTTTGGTGCAAAAATTCTCCCATTTTCAGGTCCTGTGGTGGACAAAAAGGTGAAGCTTGAGAATGGTACAATGGTTGGCCCATTGAGAGTAGATGATGTTCGCAAAGACATGTATCAGCTTCTTGCCACAACTCCTGACCCTCGTTTTGTAGGTTTTGTTCTTATTTTCGCATTTTAGTTGGTAAAAATACCAATTTAGAAGTCATATATCCGGATAGG